GCATGAATGACACCTATGATTTCTGAATTTAACAAATAATCCAGTGTAGAGTTTTTCTACTTCTTTTCCTTACTGATATGGAAACAAGAAGGTACAAAAAGGTCACAGATACAGATACATGCTTTTGTTGAAAAAGAATAAAGTTATGCAAAATCAGGACCAATCTGGAATATCTTGAGCACATAATTGTCACAAGAATATCAGATAAAGTATGTTTTTGTGTCAATGCACAGCTATGTTTATATTCATGTTAATGATAACTTCAAGGGCATCTACATTCTACATACTTTACTTCATGTGATATCTACAACAAATCTATGAAATTTGTTCTTTTACTTCATTTTACAGATAAGAAAATAGAGGCTCAAAGAGATTGAGTCATTTATCTCTAAGGTATATAGCTTTTTAGGCTAGATCCAGGCTTCAAATACAATTTTATCTCAAGTTAAAATAAAATATTCCTTTATCCTGTATCGCTGTCCTGTGTGGCTTCCCCTCTGAGCCTCACTTTCCTTTGGCTAATTAGAGAATGGGATGGTAGAGATGTAGAGAGTCTGATTAAAGTGCTCCACCTTCATCTCTGCTGTGGCCATTGCTTTGTCCTGGAGGAAAGAGGATAAATGGAGGTTAGTTGCCACTAACGCCGAAGGGCAAGAGGGCAGATGAAATGACTGGAGGCAAGAAAATAACCTGACTTTACAGAGGACGGAGCTCTTAAAGGGAAAGATACCACTGGTCGGAGTCCACAGGGACCTCTCGCTGCCCTGGGCCGGTGGGGGGGGGCGTGTCACAGCATAGCTTGTGAAAGCCTGAGGCAGGCACCTTTACCTATATGTGTACTGCACATCCAGGGGGTTGTGGGTGGGGGGAGGGGGCTGGAGGGGACTTGGACTGCCTCAGATTTGGCTGGTGCCGCTGTGTTCAAAGGCTCCTGAAGAAAAAAGTTACATTCCACTTCAAAACAGTTGTTGCTGGGATTGAGCTCTCTGACAGAGGAGTCAAGACACAGTTGTAGGCTTCCCGCCAAGGCTGACTCGAAAGACAGAGTGGCTGTATGGATTCAAGAGCCTTGGTGTGATTTAGACGTGATGGCTGAATGAAACAAAGCCTGAGCTTTCGTGAAAGCAGAATTTTTATGTAGACAGAATATTAACTCTGTCAGAAGCTGGAAGACCCTGGCCTTTAACTTCTGGACTCTTAGCTCTTTGAAAATCTTCTGGGCACAAGATGGCCCGGGTTCTCTTTCTAAGAATCCAAGCAGTATCTTTGCTTCTAGAGCAGATGTTGGCAACCACTGGTCCTTTGACCAGGGCTAGTCACAGGCGTGTTCCACATGACTCCTACCGTGTTAGCCTACACAGAGACTGGAATTTCAAGCTTTGGGTGACAAATCCTCAAAATGAGCCACAGTGGGCTTTCATTTTTTCAGGCAATAAATTTGAACGGAGGTCTCCCCTTTGGATGCAGCCTTTTCTTTCCGGTTGGCTCAATGCCTAGACTTCCCATGAGATGCTGAAGCTTCATTCGTTTTTATGGTCGCACTTCTATGGAGGAGTCCTTCCTCACAGAGTGAGACCCTCCTGGCTCCTGCGCACATCTGGGCCAGAGATGCCTGTAGGCATCTCGCTTTCAGCCTCTAATGATACAAAGTGGACCTTCACACTGCAAGTCATTATAGCAGAGTTCACAGGAAAATTGTCTCTTATAGCTCCTTTAATTCTCCTAAAGAAATGTTTCAAGTTATAATTTTTTAGAAAAAATTACTTATTGCATCTATATTGTTATTTTCCCCCCTTTAGGTAAAACAACTACAACAAAACAACAACCTGTCCATTCAGTGGACACAAGGGCATTTGAATGTCAACGTACCAGCATCTTGTGTGTTTTAACTCTTCTGGGTTCTGTGAACACCTTTACATAGCTTAGTTCAAAACAAAGCCAGTAAAAAGGCAGAAGTGAACATAAAAATAAAAGTCCACTGATGAATGAATGATCGTAGAGAGGCTTTATTTGTCACTACCCATTTGACTCAAGGACCATCAAAACAAAACAAAAAACGAAACAAAACAGGAGAAGCGGGCCATTTATGAGGGTCATTCTAAATCGGAGTTTTGCTTGGTTAATGAGCAGTGGTAACAGTGGCTGGCAGACTCGATAGGGTAGTTTTTGATTTCTGAAAACAGACTTTTCCAGCTTCTTATTGGCTACTGGGTAATTCCTGTGCAGATTAGACTTGATGTGACCAAGTGAGTAATCTCTCCATGATCACTCATCATTTATCACCCGTCCAGTGAGACAGTTTCAGTATGTGTGGCTCCGTGGTGTGTATGGGTTTCACTTTATGAAATGCAGTGACTCGTACTGGGTTTGGTGTTTACAAAGAAATAGTGGGCTTGGTGAGAACTTTTAAGGGGCTGTCTGAATGTGACTGAGTCAATAAAATTATTTTGCAGAATAACAGTACTAAATACTGCTAAATGTTGGTATTAATGTTGGCAAACATTAGTCTAATGATATTAGTAAACTTTATTTTGCATAGAAAAAAGAAAGTCTATTCATAAGAAGGCCATACATGTTCTTCCTCACCTCTGTCTCCCCTGAGAAATAGGTAGGCAGATGAGGACATTGAGTATCTAAGAGTTTTGGACTTAATGTTGCAAAGCTAGGACACAGGGAATCTGTGATACTCAGGAATTCTGACTGACCTTGCTGCACCAGTGTGGGGGACCAGTAAATTCTCTGGGTTGTTGAGAAGAAAAGAAATATGTGTACCCCAAGATATGACTTGAGTTGTTGTTCTCTGTTTTTAGTTATAGAAAGTCAAGAAACACAGAGTGCCGTTATTATTGTTTTTACTTCATCACTAGCAGGGGATTTGCACATTGGTTTGGGCAGAATATTTCGGTCCAATGGAACTTTCCTCCGTGTTTCACTAGGAGGGAGTCTGAGGGTTTCTCTGGTAAAAGGGAGAACAGCTGCTCAATTCTGGGCAATAACCACAGCCCACCACAAAGCCCGATAAGAACTCAGAAAAGGGATAACTTATTTGGAGCAAAAGTGTCACATGGCAGGGATGTGGTGATGAGGCTGTGAGCAGAAGGCGGGCAAGATGCATGCATGCCTTTGAAACAAATGGGCTCCGGCTTGAACATCCCAGATCAGAAGCAGCTCAATACCAGTAAACGGAGGCAGAGCTGCACACTGAGCAGAAAACCAACAGTGTGATCACATTGAACACATTCGTAAGGCAAGTAGAGGAAATGATCAAAACAACCACCAAATACAGTCAAGTCTAAATCTAACTTTTTTCTCCCTTCCGGTGATATGTTCACATGGTTGAAACCTCACCTCGGTACTTTATAAAAACTGTGGACGTCTTGGGTTGGGCAGTAAACAGTCCTGGTGGTGGGTCTTCCAAAGGGCAGTGCCGCCGTGCAGGAGAGGAATTCCCAATGCCAGGGGAGGCAATGGGGCAACCGGTATGTGATGCAGGCCACTGGCTGGGGAGGCCTTGTGATGGAGACCTGAGCGCCTAATATTTCTAAGCCACTCGCCACTAGTAGGTCAACCTGAAATAATTCAAAGCACCATTTTGAGGAATAAAGAGATAAGAACCCAAATACTTCAAAAATAGTGAGGGTTAAATAAACTGTAGCTATTATTTTTTCCACATGCTTCCCTTAACTGGAGCATGTGGTTTAAATCAGGAAAAATGATGAGAAAATACCCTACAGGAGCGAAGTCTGGCCACAAAAGTTACTGCTTAGCTGGTACCACTGGAGGAAAACCAGGCCTGTTGTGTTCCAAAGCTCCTGCTATCCCGTTTTACGCCTGCAAAATGAGATGCTCTGGAAGCAATTGGAAGGTGATAATGACCTTTGCTTTCAAGTTTTAGAGTTAAGCCTTAGTTCTTCTGTCCCAGTAGCTTAATCGCACCCGTTTTCTCTTTCTGCACTGGGCAGGGGCAGGGGCTAGGGTAGGCAAGCTTGGGAGCCTAGCCTGCTCTCCCTGTGAGCCCAGGACCAGGGCTAGTTCTCTGGGTCCCTGCGCACATCAAGCCGTCCCCTGAGCTTGACCTGACTCCCTCTGGCAAGGAAACTCCGCAGCATATTTAAAGGTGCAGCTGTGGGCAGTGAAATCCCTGTTTCAAAGCCAAAGGAGGAAACACAGTGAGAGGAGGTGTTGGGCTTGCTGCAGCGAAATATGATTTGGGATTTTGCTTGGCCAAATTGTGAGAATGATATGTGGGAGGAGGAAATATTCAAGTAAATATGGTAAGGTGATGAGAGGCTGTAATATGAGCCTGGTGTCTCCAGGGAAAGTTCCTACACTTGTGGCCCCTGGGCAAGCATTTAACCCGTCTTTATTCCACATTTTCCCTTCCAGACTTTGGCTGGAATCCCAGACAGAGGACTTTTTTTTTTAAACCCCTCCTCTGCCTCCTCCACCTTTCCTCCTTTCTCTGTGGCTCGTGCGCTGCTGTGGTAGGCTGGCCTCTCTGCCCAGCCCAGTTTCTGTCCCTGTGCATGACTGAGTGTAGGAGGCTGGCTGGCTGGCTCTAGGGAGCAGCTAGGTAAGGAGAGGGTGTGCATTCCAACCAGTGTCAATACGGGACAGCTGGGTTTCCTGGCTATGGCCTGACTCAGTTTACTTAGTCTAAGAGTGTGAATTAAAGGCTAGGGTTCAATGACTATTTCAAGTCCTTCAAGTCCCAAAGCTGTGCGTGCATAGTCACACGTTACAGCTGGGATCCCGGGGCAGCGGAGACTTGCAAGAGCTACAAATGTGGTCAGTGGAAATGAACTCTCAATTCAGCCCCACAGCACGTGACTTCCTATTTCTGTAAGGTACTTCCAAGGGACTTCCTCTGTAAAGTCAGCCCGAGTCCCCGGAGAGTTCATTCAGCGCCGCAGTGAAGTTCACTTCCAACTCGGGACAGAAGTTTTTCCCTGAGATACGGTGTCAGTTTCTTTTCTTTCTCTTTCCTCTGCGGCTGCCAGCGTGCAAGGATCTGGTGGCTCCTGTCCGGGATCGGAAGCTGAATACCCTGGTGCAGATCTCCGTAGTCCACCCGGCAGCGCAGGGGCTGACAAGGTACTCCAGCACGGAGATCGTGGAGGTGAGCACGCCCTGCACATTTCTCTCTCTCTCTCTCTCTCTCCCCCTTCCCCTGGATTTGAGCAACAGCTGAAATAAGTTAGCTCATGGCCTGTAGCTTTGCTGTGTTACTGTCCTTTGTCATTCAGAAAAGCGTACCTGAGCTTATTAAGCATGCATTGGTAACTTCCCTGAATAAACAAACAAGGCAACTTGCCTTTTTCAAAAAAGACCTTATTTTTATTTAGTAAACATAAAGAAAAATTCCTACTTTGAATCCTCCAGTATAACAGCAAGTGGAGAAAAATATATATATATATATACAAATTTTAAATTAAATGAATGTTTATTGGGGCAGGAGGTGGGGAGAAAGTCGTAAAGTACCCAGAGAAGTTTCAAACTTGTGAAATGCTTTTTTGCCCTTTTCATTTTTTCCTGTATTCTTCAGTCTGTCTGTGGAAACTATAGGCTCAGGTGTTTGGGTCTGTCTTTTTAAAGGACAATGTTTTTCAAAGAAAGGTACATGATGATTTTGAGAAACTATAATGTTTCTAGGCAAAAGGTGTGAATATTACTCACCAGATGAGAGACTTCCTATTTACATGTATTGTTATTAATGTAACATTCACTGTGTGTCGAGAGGAAACTTGTTATTATGTTGGACCAGATTCAAAAGAGGAAGTGTTTCCCTTTTGATTATTTAGTTCTTATCAGACACGTTTTGCAAATTAGAGAGAGATCTTATTTGAGCGTCTGGGACTAAAGAAAGACCCCCCTCAACCCCCTCAGCTTTGCCTGCTTTTCTTAGACCTGAGAGCCCTGTCTGTTTTGAACGAGGTGTTTCTCGGCGAGAGGCTGCCTCAGCGCCGGCTGGCTCAGTGCTGACCTGAGTCTTCATGCAGTTGCTGGAATAAATGATTCAGACTGCACGCCTCTCATTTCTCTAATGGGAACGGCCCAGATCCGGCACGGCCCAGAATGTGCCCTGTGGAAACTCTGGATTCCGGACTGGCATGGTTTGTAATGAATGCTGAAGGTGAACAAACGCAATCAGTCTTAATTCATAGAAGGAGCACTTGACTGAAATTGTACAACAGTTCATTTAGATGAAAACATTTTCAAGTATTATTCCAAGTTCATTAGTTTTAAGATATTGTCAAAATTGAAAAGAGATGATTTATTTTGACAAACTCCAAATTTTTCTATTTGAATATATATATATGTAGTTGTTTTTGGCTTTTTTGGGTCACTTTCTGTTCTAAAGTGTCTAACACAGCGAGAAATAGAAGTAGTACTTACTGAATAAAGAGAAGAAAAAAATGAATGAGTCAATGAATTACTTGAGCTTTCAGAAACTTCCAAAGACAACTGGTTTATAAAACTCTAGCAAACACCTCAATGCTATACAGCAAAGCATGTGTGGCAAAAGTAGGTTTACATATGAATACAGAAAACAGAGTTTATCCTCATATTAGTACTCATTAATTGTTGTATTTCCCATGCAGACATCTGCAAACCTACAATTGCCCCATCCTGTATAGATGTTTAAATGCAAGTATAAAATGTAATGGTGGATGCCGGCTCTGTAAAAATGAATTCTGAGACATGGAGACATCCCAGGCACTGTGTCCTGAGCTAGTAATTTCAGAGCCCCCGATCCATCATAATTAGTTTCTTTCATTAGCTTTCTAATCGATCTGAGAAAAACACAGAGCTGAGCATCTAAAAACAAATGGGCATCACCAGGGCATGGCCTTCTGTGGAATCATTGCAGAAAGGAATACATGGACAGCACACGCTTCCCAAATGGATCTCTATGAGAAAATGGCTTCATTTTAATCGGATCAGTCAATATCTTAGTTTATATGTATCAGTGCCAGGTTCTCTCCTGTAAACGTATTCTAAATGGACTGACAGCTGACCCCCAAGTGGGGTTCTGCGTATGATGAAAAGGAGAAATTGGTTTTCAAGCTGTTAGCAGCTCCGACAAGGAGCAGGGCATTTACTATCAACGGCTCCATCAGTACTGGGGGCCTCGGGCCATGTTGTAGCAGGTGAGCACCACTTGGTAAATCAGATTTCTTCACGGAACTATTTCCTAGAAAAGCGAACAGACCCAGACACCCTTACTCCATTCTCATGTGCCACTTGCCTGCTCCGACTGCAGTTGCTGCCTCATTGAATCTGCGTTGTCTGCCTGTGCCTTACAGGGAACGAGGGACCCACTCTTTCTGACGGGGGTCACCTTCCCCTCTGAGTATCCCATCTATGAGGAGACCACAATAAAGCTCACAGTCTATGATGTCAAGGATAAGTCCCACGACACCGTAAGTGCTGGCACTTCTTTTTTTCTTTGGGAAAAGAAGTTATGGTTCTCCAAACTCTTGAATTTTTTTTAAGTGTAATGGGCATTTTTTTTTTCAAAGAGGGTGTTTATACTGTGTTGATGCTTGTCTTATGTTTATAATTTGCTTAGATTTTTTTCCCCCAAATTCATTTGGCTTAGTGCCAAAATGGCAACAGGGTAAGAGCAGAAGCTTCCAGACCTGGTTTTCCTCTTTTTCAGGAAGGCTGGCTAATCTCTTGATTTATAGTTTTGTTGTTGTTTTTAAGAAGCTGAAAGAGTAATACCATGGTTAGAATGTAAATAGAAGAAATTAAATAATAGTTCAAAACTGTCTGAATATTATAATTACTCGAAAATGGGATTGACAAAATACTCTGCTTTTGCAATTTATTCTTCTATGAAAGTATGGAGAGAAATTCCCTCTATGGTTCCTGATATTTTTCCTGGCACCAAAGCAAACGTGATAGAGAGCACTCGGCAGAAGCTTTAATTGTCCTCTTTCCATGGAAGTCATATCAAAGTTCCAATGGCTTTTTTTTTGGGTAATAGATTCTTCAGTCTTCCATCTGGTCTGACACTTCCTCCACTTGAACCAGACCTCCTGGGTAGACAGTTAGGCACCCAGCCAGTATCTGGAGAGGCCTTTCTTAAAATTTCTGGGGAGGAGAGAATGCTATTGGGTAGGCACTGACAAGGAGGACATTTAAAATTAGCTTTCTCCTTTGAGTCTCTCCCTTTAGCATGAATTTCAGTCTGTGTTCTAGCAGGAAGTCTTGATGGTCAACAGTGAAGCGCAAACCAGGAGACACTTGGAGGGCAGATGGGCCAGTGGGTTCCAGGAGAATCCTGGATGAAGCTCAGGGATTCTGCTAGGACACAGCACCTTGTCCAAGGGAAAGCTCACTTTAAACTATGCCTTCACTTGGGCATTTCTGTCTTGCTCCTGGCTCTTCCTTTCCTCTCTACACTTTACACAAAATATGTAACATAGATGCAGGGTGGGAGGGTTTAATAGAGAAAAATATTCTATGCTGAAGGAATTTCAACTCATCTTGGTTAACTCATCAAAGTCATCTCTTTAAATGTGAGGAAGGAAAGCCTAATTACATGCACAGCATGCGTGTGAAATATTGATAGAAATAATTATGTTGTCTGGTCCGTCTATGATGTAGTCTATCTGGTTCCTGTTACATTTACTCCCTTTGCGACCCTGGGGGACTTAATTCTCAGTCCCTCTGTTTCTTTATTCATAATATTTACTGTGTGGGGTTGTTGTGAGGGTTAAATGAGGTAATATAGGTAACATATTCAGAAGACTAACTGATACAGATTAATTAATAAGTGTAAGCTGTTGCTTTCATTGCTATTTTGGCTGCTGCCCCACGGTCCCTCACGAGTAAGAAAAACCAAGTAAAAGAAGATTAACTGAAGTCTTTTCTTTATTTACTTTGTTTTTTTTCTTAAGTGGCACTATATTTATTATTTCTGACTTCCTTGATTAAGAGGGGAAAATAAAAACTACTTTGCAACACGAAATTAGGGTTACCATTGGCAACTGTAAAAAATATTTGCTTGGGAGTTTTGGTTTTTTCTTTCCATTTTCCTTGATTTTTGAAGCCGCAAGTGAAAAAGGAGAGGACTGACTTGGACCAGGTTTGATAGATTGTGGGCAAGGCCACGCACAGATTGATGGCTGTCCTGGAGAAGAGAGAGAAATGAAGAGAACGGGGAACAATCATAAAGTTGGGAAGGAGAGAGAGAGGGTTCAGATGGATGGCGGAGGAGGCGGTATCACTGTGCAGGGAGTAATAACCAGAGAAACACTCAGGATAGCAGGGAAAGCAAAGCAGTAACTATGGGGTTTTATGTTCTTCCAAGCACACGACCCAATGCAATCTTCCCTACAGGCCCCAGGCACAGACAGGACAGAGTATATGGAAGGGACAGAGATAGCAAAGTGTTCTGCTACAGGAATGAAAGCATCACCCCTAAACTCTCGGATTGATAAGGTCTCAGACTCATCAGTGTTAAGAGACATGAAACACCAATGCTGTTTCTGTCCCCTTCAGCCGTCTTCATTTACAAAGTGCATGTACTTTATTGCTTTAGGGTTAATTAGCTTACTCATTAATTATGTTTTTTTATTGGTTCTATTTCTGGAAACTAATTATTTAGGGTCTTTTAGAGACTTACTTCCTCTGATGGGGTCATCACACAAAAGGACTGGATGAACTGGAACCCCTGCTGTGAAACAGGACTTGTGAAATTTGAACACACTTGAGAATTGCAACCAGCTTTCCCTAACCAAGTGCTGTTAATTAAGGCACAACCTCTTCTTTACAATAACTAACTGTTAGCTCTGGGGATGGAAGTGTAAATAGGAACACCGTTCATTGATATGCTAATACTCCCCATGGACTTGGACTTTTCATCCCCACACTTTTTCTCTCACTCCTGAAGTTTTTCTTTGGGGTGGAGGGAGGTGGGGTAGGGGCAGGCAGGAGGTGGGTTTAAAGTGCAGTTTATAACTACCAATACTTAATAACCTAAGTATTTTAAGATCACAATACTTTTAAAGCTTGAGGAATGAGGTTGTGTATATTTATGCATTTTAGAAAATTAATGAATTGTATGCATGTATTTAAAAGTAGCTTTAATATGGGATCCTAATCACCAGTGACCCTGTTAGGCTGACCCAGGACAGTGAGGTCTTATATAATGGTTGAATTCTAGTTGGTCGAGTCAGATGACTAAGTTGTTTGTCTTTTCCTACGGAGTTTATGGTTACTTGGAATTAACCAGTGAAATAAATTTGTTAGTTTGCTATTTCATATTCATTTACACAGTATTAAAGGAGAAATGATTAACTGTCATTTGTGCCTCTGATACAGCCATTATCTAGGTGATTCTTATATTCCTCTATACAACTGGACCTAAGATTGATTATTTTACTGAGGTTAGTAGAAATGCAATGAATCATTGTAATGAATGGAAGAGCTACGTGTTGCTTCAGAAGGACTGTTGCTTCCTCGTACTTCATCTGCATCCTTCCCACTCGTCGTGGTCTGGGAGAGTGGAGTATGGGGGTGATAGGGTCATCATGAGAATCGGAGTGACTTTTTTATTGTTTTTTCCCACCATGAAGAAATTATTTATTTTCTAAAAGTGGACTGCTGTAACATTCCACTCTTTGGTGGGGACTTCAAAAAGCTTGAAATTAGAGCCAATTTTAGGATATGAGGGCCCGGTTCTTACAGCGAGGTCGATGTCTTGTGGCTGTATGTGGTTGTATCCTCTATTTTAAATCTCCTGGAAACAGAAACAGCATAGACAGAAGTGTTTTTAGCACATCATTTGCAGTGTTCAGCCCCATGGAATCAAGCTTGGTCTCCAATAGGTTCAGAAAAAAACTCAGAGGAAGGAGAAATTTGTGGAGGAAAGCATCCATAACATCACCATCAACATTAGTCTCTCTTTGCCCTTCTTCCCATGCAAGGGAGTGAACTAGGGTCTTAACAACACCCAGCCTCAGACCATCATCAATCTGCAAAACATGATCAGGTCCCAGAATTGTTTTTGTCCGTGGCAGAAATTTGAATTTCTAATGTGTTTTGCAGGCGTGCACACTGGTCCATTTCTTTTGCTCTTGGGGTAAATATATTTCCAACTTCTGGACGTTCAGCTTACAGGTCAGAGTCCCATGAGAAATGACAAACTGAACATTTCTCAGGTGAAGATACGTGTTCTAAGACATTCTTTACTACCATTTACTAGTGACCCTCCATTTGTGCCTTTCAGGAAACGTGACCTCATCAAGACTGGGTGTAAATTTATTGCATTGTGTGTTATATGCCCAAGGCAGTTTGGTTCTAGTACAATTCCCTACATAGGAGTGTCTGGTTCACTTTTATGGTTTTCTGTGGGAAGTAAAGTCGTTTACATTTAGTACACTTGGACTTGGCTTGAGTTTCTTGATTGACTTCTTACAAGCTTAAGCCTGTTGAGATACAGATTCTATGAGCTGACCTTCTCTAGCTAGAAGATATGGTGCCATGGGTAAGAGGATAGAAGCTGAGATTACTGATCATTAAGTACATACAAAGCACCATGTTTAATGTTAGCTGTAGTTTTCTCTTTAATCTCCATAAACATTTTTGGAGGGAAGTATTATGATGTCCAATTTAAAGATGAAGAAATAGGGATTCTGAAAACTTCAGTAGGCCAAGTCAAAGGCCCTTTATTTTTCCAGGCTATGCTATGATACATGTATTGTTTATAGGATTTCCCTTGTTTTCACTCCCATGGTATGGCATTTTTACTTTAGTGACGCTTTAAAAGCATTCCTAATTTGTAGCTTAAAAATGATTCTTTGAAAGAAGTGTCAATGTTCATTTGACATTTTGGGGGAGAGAGCTAATATCCAAACTTTTTAAGTACTTTAATTAAGCATGTAACTAATTGCTGAATAAATTTTTTAATGAAGTAGCCAACTACTATTCATTAAAAAAAATAGCTGTTATCACCTGTTATGAATGGCTAAGTCCACGTCTCGAACTTTTGCATTGGTCCCCCTGCCCTCGTTTTATTTTCCCTTTCCTTTATGTGTGCTCCACGGTGTTCTCCACCTGTTCTTTCACTCGGCCTTTGCCCTTCGGAGTGCTCTGGCCCATGCAGTGACGTGGTCTCCAGGGGAGTTCCTGAGTTCAGGTAGCAGTAGCGCAGGCTTCTGAAGCATCGCTGCCTTTCCCAAGTCACTCCACTTTGTTTACCTGTTGTCAAGTAGTACATATTCACTGAGAGCATATTTATAATTCACTGAGGTATAATTTACATGCAATAAAACAGGCAGATCCTAGGTGTTCAAGTCGATGAGTTTGACAATGGCATACGACCACATAACCTCAACCCAAGGCAAGGTCTAGAACATCGCCAGCATTCCAGAAAGTTCCCATGTACCCTTTTGTAGTCAATTGCCACCCC